CAATCATTTCAAAAGGTAGTTTCTCTTTTTGCCTCATCATCTACGAGAGTAATATTTTTCTTGCTGTTTGGACCAAAGTCTTCTCTGCTGTTGGGGAAGTGTAGGAAGTTAGCCAAATGGAAATGACGGAGTACACAGCACAGCAGTTTGTTCTCTTGTACTTCGAGGTTCTTTGTGATGTGATGGGGATATTATTGCTCCCTCACAGAGGTTCTCAGAGTTGGAAGAAGCCTGAGACACCATAAGTCCAAGTAGTGCCTCAACAGCATCATCCTTATCCACTAACAGTCATCCAGGCATCGCCTGAAGTTTAGAGACTTCCCAGGTCATTCCAGTTTTACGTAGCTTGTGTTGTTATTCATTCGTGGTTCCTACTTCTGCATCTTAGGACTGAACAGAATGTCTAAATGCCTCTTTTGTATGACAACCCTTCAGATATTTGAAAAGAGCTATCATGGCCCTGGGACATCTAGGTGGCACAGTGGATAAAGCCCTGGGGCCTGGAGTCAGGAAGACTTGAGTTCAAATCCAGCCTCAGTCACTTCCCAGCTTAACCCTGTTTGTCTTAGTTTCTTCATCTGTCAAATGAGCTGGAGAAGGAAATGGCAAACCACTTCAATATATTTGCCAAGAAAACCCAAATGGAGTCACAAAGAGTCCAACAGAACTAAAATAACTCATGAACAGTAAGAAATCCTGACCTTCCCCTGGTCCTGTCTTCTAGGTTACATATTTCTTTTTTTTTCTTTTCTTTTCTTTTTGGTGAGGCACTTGGGGCTAAATGACTTGCCCAGCGTCACCCAGTTAGTAAGTGTCAAGTATCTGATGCTGGATATGAACTCACATCCTCCTGACTCCAAGGGCAGAGCTCTATCCACCGCACCACCTAGCTGCCCCACCTTGGTTACTTATTTCTTGTTCCTTCTCTCTATCCTTACAAAGCATCGTCCGCATAGCAACAAAATTTACTAATTCTCCTGCTTCAGAGAGCTTCAGTGATTTCACATTGCCTCCAGGATAAAATGTAAATTCCCCTTGCCAACATTTAAAACTCTTCCACAATTACTGCACCTTGCAGCGGCTGGGTGGCCCAGTGGCTAGAGGGCTAGACTTGGGAGTCAGAAGGACCTAAGTTCCAATTTGGTCTCAGAGAATTAACTGGTTATGTGACCTGTGGCAAGCTTAACTTCTCTCTGCCTTAATCTAGAATAATATTATAGCACCTGCTTCCCAGGTTTTGTTGTGATGATGCAGTGCCTTGCAAACCTTACAACATCATATTAAGTCAGTGCTGCCTGCTGCTGCTGTTGCTGTCATCATTATTCCCCTTCGTGTATCCTGTCCTTCAGGCGAACCGAGGCTACTTGCTCTTCCAGTACATGACATTCTATCTCCTACCTATGTATACACTCTGTCTCCTATGCCTAGGATTATCTTCCTGCTCACATCTCTTTCTTGGAATCCCTAACTCCATTCTTAGCCTGAGCTCATGCCATCTCCTACACAAAGCATACCCAGACAGTTTCTGCACTCCCCCAAAATTTTCTATTTATTTTGTTTTTTCTTAGGTATACTTCTTACACAGATGAAAAGGTAAGCTCTTTGAGGCCAGGAACTTTTTATTTCCAGTGCCTGTCACACAGTAGGTCCTTAATAAATATTTATTAAAGTAATACTGAATTAAATCGAAAGTTTATCCAGTCCCCTCACCATCTCCATTATCCTTTTTTGGACATTTTCTTTATTTCCCTCTCAAAATGGGTCTGACAAATGAACCCAGTACTGCAGATGTTGTCTGACCAGGACAGAGTATAGTGAGACTATGCTCTGTATATTTCCGGTGTTACATTAGCTGCCTTGTTTTAATAATAATAATAATGCTTACTGTGTGCCAGACAGTCTGCTAAGTGCTTTGCAGTTATTATCTCATCCTCATCAACAACCTTGGGAGGTAGGTGCTGTTTTTATCCCCATTTTATAGATGAGGAAACTTGGGGCAGAAAGGTAAAATGACTTGCCCAGGGTCACACAGTTAGGATGTATCTGTCTGAGTTTGAACTCGAGTCTTCCTGACTCCAAGCGCTATGCTGTATCTACTGTACAACCTACCTTGTAATTCACTAAACCTCCCAGGTGTTTTTTCATGTACACTGTTAACCAGATGTGCTCTGTCATTCAGTATACACTATCACTAAGTCCATAATAAAAACTTTTCCGTATTCGAAGAAACTACCAGCGCTCTTCTAAGAGTACAGCCTGTGAAGAATTCATAGCAATAACAAGGTAGGGATCTAATTGTATTAGTCTGAAGAGAGACTGAACTGCGCAGGCCCCCTTAAAGCATCCAGGGGATTGGGTGCCTAATGATACATGTTCCCCTTCGTGTCGAGGCATCTTAATACGTGTCTGGTCAGGTTACTGTCAACATCCAAAGCACCTTTAAGGACATGAGAGAGAGAGAAGAACTACTTGCAGCCTCTAAGAGGAATGTGTGGAAGTTTTTCCCGTGGTATTATTTAAGGTTCATTATGACCTTGTGATAGTGGGGTATGTTTTTTAACAAATGACAAGCCTCCCTCCTGAGTCTGAACCTCACTGCTGAGTCTTGCCACTTCCACTCCCCTCTTACATTCCAAGAATCCTTACTACCACTACATCTAATCTAGGTTTCAACTCTTCAGTGTTCATCAGCAGGCATTTATTAAGCACCTACTACGTGCCAGTCATGAGGAAGAATTCTTCAGTTGCAAGCGTTGGCTAACTTAGATAACCTGTATTCTAGCTTGACTCCTGGCCTGTAGAGTAGCTGGCAAAATGACATGACCAATACCCAGGGTAGTGTGAATGTTCTGATCATGGTGTAAATGCTGTAGGTTCCAAAGTAAGTGTTACAAAACTGGTGACACATTTAAAGCCAGCACAGCTCAAAGTAATCCCTACTCGCATTTTTTATGTTACATTTGATGGAATGTTAACTATAGTCTTTCCATTCTTTTAAGTTTCTAATGCTTTAGTTGAAGGACAATTTAGATACTGTATTTCTGTGTGAGGAATAAGTGCTGTTATACTTGGAGGAGTTCAGAATCTACAAATATGGGGGGGGGGGGAACTAGAGTAGTACCATATAGCCTGGGAGGCAAAGCCAGACTACACATTTGGAAACAATGTGTCAAGGGCTTGGTCAGATTCACTAAATTTATTGTAGGTAGACTCCTAGAATCCGAGAGGTGAGTACCTGTTTTGTAAAATGAGTATGAGGTGCTATGGACAAAGTTCAGAGGAGACTTATCCCTATTTAAAGGCATATGTCTCCTCTACAAATTGACCAACTCACTCTACTTAAGCCCGGTAGGTTATTGGAACTGACTTGCCTCACAAAGTAGACCATTTCATTTCAAGCTTAACTAGCTAGATGAAAAAGCTGGTGTACTGACATGAGATTTTATCTAGCTTTTTCATTTGCATTCAAAAGATAAAAATATACAGTACTGTAATTGTTAGTGACAGGCTGTCTCAGGAATTGGGGTGTATGGGTGTATAGGTGTATATGTGGAGGGAGGGTTCTTAATAGTTGTAATGAACATCTACGAAATACCTACTACATGTAGCACAGGTCCAATTTTGAGAAATCATAAAATTGAAACTAAATGTTTTATTAAAATTTCAGAATATTTTTCTCTTTTCAAATAAACAGATAAGAATAGACTGGTGTACATGGTTGTTCTATAGGATAGCAAGTTACCACATTGTTATAATAGCAAGTCATTCCCCTCTACAGGAGCTTGTACTTAGTATGTATGACTCCTGTGGGTACAGCTAGAACTGGTGTATAGAATTTATTGCAAGAGACATTCTTTTTTGGTTTGGTATAAGAAAGAATAAGTAAGCAATTTGTAACAATTAGATCTTTCTCAAGAAAATAGTTTGCCTAGGGAAATAGTGAGTTCTTTGGTTAATCTGTTGTGTCTTATTAAAATGTGAGTTCTTTGAGAGTAGGGATTTTCTTTTCTGCTTGTATTCCTAAGTAGTTAATTTAATTAAGCTTTTTCCATTTATTCATTAAAGGTTGAGGAGAGGGCTAGTGGGATGACTTGAAAGGGAGTTTGGTATAGTGGGAAAAGCACTGCACTTGGAGACTTCCAAGTTCCAACTGGTAAGGTCAAGATCTTCTAATCCACGTCATACATAATCAGAGGTAGAATGAACTTAGACCTCAGCAGGAATGTAACAGGAGTATAACGTCTGTTGCGGCCTAGTTGTGCTGAGAACCCCTAAATTCAAAGGCAAGCGACAAGGGTCTTGCCTTGAATGAATTCAACTCAAGCCTTGTTTCCGTGAGAGACAAGATTTATTAAAACACCCGTTGAAGTGGGTAAGATTTTAAGAATCTACCCTATTGGCCAGATTTTAAGAATATGAGCCTTTGTAATGAGAATTGGGCCAGACTTTTAAGGAGTTGGAGTGATTTAATGGGGGCAAGATGGACACTTATGTACGGCGGTCAAGGAGTAGCCAATAGTTTGGGTGACGAGGAGGTAAAGAAGAAGGATCCAGGAGGGCCAGGTGCCCTAGGTGAACTTGGGCCACGTGGGAAAGTCTGGGGCCTTTTAGGGTCCATCATTAGTGCCCCATCACATCCATGACAGTCGTTACTCAGTTTCCATGTGAGCATTTCTGTTCCTCACGCAGCTGCCTTTGGCCATTTGTAAAATGATAATACTGTACTGCAGACAAAGGTCATTTTGAGAGTCAAGTGAGATGATTCATATAAACTGTAAAAGTACCATATGACTATATCCCATTTATTTTATTTTGAGGGGATTAGACCAAATGACATCTCAGATCCTATGACTTTTTACCAAATTCAGCATACTGCATTATGGACAATGGATGCTTAGTTTTTATTTTGGATTAATCAATCTTAGCAATAAAAACCTCCTGGGTGAGAATAAGAAGTACAGTGTATAGAGATTTTCTTACGTGTGTTTATTTCCTTACAGGTCTTCCGGAACAGTACTATAGCCTCACTTGGTTCCTTAGCCCTATCCTGGGCCTCATCTGCACTCCACTGATAGGTTCTGCTAGTGACCGATGTACACTTAGCTGGGGCCGCCGGCGGCCTTTCATTCTTGCTCTCTGCATTGGAGTTCTCTTTGGAGTTGCACTTTTCCTCAATGGTCCTGCCTTAGGTAAATATTAAGTGAATTTTCTCTTTGTTAAAAGATGCAGTTATGAAACATTCATGAAAAAGTTACTGAGCTTTAGTACTTTTCTCATACATCATGACAGTGTCTCTCAAAGGCTTGACCTTTTTCTTGAGCTAGAACTGACTTCCCTGTCTGACCTTGGTCAAGTCATGTCACCATCAACCTTCATTTTCATCATCTGTAAAATTTTTTTTCTTAATATAACATCATATGATTATGTGAAGAAAGGGCTTTGTAAACTGCAAAGCCCCTATAGAATTTTGAGCTAGTAGCAGAATTAGGATAAAATGATTCGGTCTAAATAGGGTGTGTGTGAACGTCCTTAGACTTTCAATGACTTATTTTCTTTTCATTCAGAAAGCAGGTAACTGCTTTGAATGTGTTACAGAATTCTTTGCAACAGCCACTTCTTAGTTCTTATTAATACAATGGTTACTAGCATAATATTTGCATGGTTTGCAATACATTCAGCCAGGCCCTCACATGGGAAAACTGTAGGAACCTGTTCACAGGGAAATGTTTCCTGTTGTGATCCATTTTCTTTTTAACGCATATCTAACAACACATCCTGTTTCCAGCATTATTTCAAAATTATCTTTTTTTTCCCTTCTCCCTTTCTTATGTTTCATATTGAAAAATTCCAGAACCCAGCTTAATATTTGTTTTTTTATCTAAAGGAACAGTTTCTGGAAGGATGATTCTTGCTTTGGGAACCCTTATCAAAGAGAGCTATTTAAAAATAAATGCCGTGTTTGAGGCAACACCTTTTACTGTCATGATCCTGAAACACTTTATACTCGTTGAGAGTCTCATAAAATACAGAGCTTTAAAATTTTCCTTAACTAATGCATCAACTTTATTTAGGAGTATGCAGTAAACATTTTCTTAGTGTCTTAATTAGAAATTTGGCCATTTGTAAAATTTGGCAAATTCAGTAGCAGTAGAGTTCAGTAGCAGTAACTGGGAGCTAAAAACAACCTTATGAAGTAAATAGTATAAATTCTAAAAGAATCAATTTATTTTCTTACTTCGCTGAAGCATCAGCCTCTCTCAGCTCTCTTAGTTCTCTCCTTTCTAGCCCAAATATTGTTTTTCTTAGCAGAAGCAAAATGAGAATGAATTAGCTCTGTCTTAATCTCTAGCCTTAGTCAGTTCTTTCTTTTTGTGCCCTTTCTGAACCATGTGACCCCATCTTCCCTTTTTTCTACCTAACTGCCTATTCCTTCTCAGCATCTCAGCAGAGCTGTGTCCTAGAAATGCTTTTCTATCTCTAATTGCTCTTGGTAATCGATTAGCTCTTAAGCAGATAACTTAGATCCAGCCTTCTTCTAAGCTCCAGTCCTGCATCACTAACTAGCTGCTGGGTGCCTGTACTTAAGCACTGCACAGACATCTCAAACTTAACCAATTGAAAGTGGAACTTGCTATCTTTGCCCAAAACCTTCTCCTTCTCCTAAATTTTCTGTTTTTGCCTAGGGCATCAGTGTCCTTCCAGTTTCTCAGGTTTGCCACCTCACTGTCATCTCTGACTCTTCTGGTTTCATCTCCCATATCCAAGCAGTTCCCAAGTCTTCTCCTGAAAGGGACACCAGGCTACCACTGTATCTTTCATATCTTTCTCTCTCTACTCATGTGGCTGACACCTTGATACAGACCCGTGTCACCTCTGATATCGTCTCTTACAATTGATGTCTTTGCCTTCAGTCTCTTCCCTTTTCAGCCCATCTTCCACACAGCTGACCACATGGTCTTTAAAGTACATGGGTTATGTTGTATCTCTGCTCTCAGAAAGCCCCAGGGATATCCTTTTGGTTCTAAGGTAAAGTACAGATGCTGTTTGTATTTAATATTTACATGATCTGGGTCCACCCTACATTTCTATTTCTGTATTTCACATTAACAACTTTTCTCATGCCTTGTGTTCCATTCAAGTGGGCCTACTAGGTGTTCCCAATTTATAGGACCTCTTCTCTCCTTTTTGCATAGGCAGTCTGCCCCCCATTCATGGAATGCTTCTACCTCCACCTCTGCCTCTTATAATCCAATTGCCACTCATTTTTTTCCCTAATTATCCAGTGGCTTCATCTTCCAAATTATTTTGTATATACTTGAATTTTCTTACTTGTGTGTATGTTGTCTTTCTCCTGACCCTCACCAGCCCCAGAAGAATGTCAGCTTCTTAAGGACAGGGATCATTTTCTTTCTGTCTTTGTATCCCTTGTTCTTTGTACAGTACCTTGCACAAAGTAGGTATTTGATAAAAGCTTGTTGGATTAAAATGAAAGCAGGGTACCATGGAAAGAACACTGGCTTTTTAAAAAAACATCATTTTTTTTAAAAGAACATGTTTTTAATGAATCTGCTTTTGTCCTCTCTTCTCTCTGCCTCCCTGTGGGAAAAGGCCCTGAGCTTGAGCTCTCCTGGAGACCCAGTTCTGGTGCTTCATTGCTGGGTTTCTCAGTTACTCTCAGTTACTAGCTACATAACCATCATTATCTCTGAACTTCATCTTCTTCATTGAGGGATCATCTGTAAGACATTTGGAAAGAATGGACAATGTACTTTTTTTAAAAATAAATTTTTTTATTTTTAGCTTCCAATATTCACTTCCGTAAGATAATTCCTTAAGAGTTCCAGATTTTCTCCCCATCTCTCCCCTCCCCCCATCCCAAGATAGCATGTAAATTGATACAGGCTCAACATATACATTCATGTTAAACCTGACAGTGTATTTTTAAATGTCATTTCTTCCAGTATGTTAGTTGTTGAGTGCTAAGATTCTCTGATTCTATAAAGAAGTATTGATTATAGGAATTTTGAATTTTTTTAAATTAGAATTAAGCACATGGTAACTGTGCTTTAGGCATTGAGAATGCAAGAGACATTGAAATGCAACCCTTCTCCTTTTTTTGTTCCATTACGTCATAGTTCGTGAATAATGTAGCAAAGAGCAGAGCCACTTCAGAAACTCAACAAAGAATGAAACCCTATATTTGTCACCCTTGAAAATTGGTGCTGAACTCTCCCTCCTTGATGTATTATTGCACAACTACAAAACACACTTCATGATGGTTGGAATAGTTAGAATTTCCTCTCTCTTTTGATGGAAGAAAATGGATGGAAGAAAATATTGTAATAATATTTGAGGGGCAGTGAGCATTTTTTGCAGGGGAGGAGTGAGCCTACTGGGGGTAAACATAGCCTTCCTACCAGAAGAAAATCCAATCCCAGCTACTCTCCACTCTCCCAAGAAACTGTGCCAAAGAATGCAGATACCCTTGCTCTCTGTTAAAGATGTAATCCCAGTAAGTGTTTTCTTGGCTGTTTTCCTCCTAGAGATTAACTTTTATGTTCCCTGTTCCTTGAGTTAACAAAGCCTTGAAGTTTGTTTTGATTCCTTTTCACATTTTGTCTCCCCAGGTCTGGCCCTTGGTGATGTTCAGAATAAGCATCCGATTGGGATTGTCCTCACAGTGCTTGGTGTTGTGGTCTTGGATTTCAGTGCAGATGCAACAGAAGGGCCCATCCGTGCCTACTTGTTGGATGTCGTGGACAGTGAAGAACAAGACATGGCGCTTAACATCCATGCCTTTTCAGCCGGTACAAAGCTCTTTTCTTACTTGTTATTCCAGATTTTGTAAGAGAAAGTTGTTATGTTAGAGTTAGGCAAGGGACCAAGAGGCAGGATAACTTGTATTCTCCTGAGTCACAGTCAAGAGAGACTACTCAACTTCCTAGCAAATAGGGTAAATGACTAGATGATGTCCTTCCTGAATGTTCAAAAACTGGCAAGAGATGGATATTGAAGAGTCTCAGCCCTCAAAGCCTAATGACACCAGTGTTCCTCATTTTTAGGCAGTGTCAGCAGCCCAGGGTAGTTGAAAGAGCCTTGGATTTATATTCAGAAGATCTGAATTCCATTCCTGATTCTGCCACTTAATAGTCACATGACCTTTTTTACTCCCTAGTCATTTTTGCTCAACTCTGAAATTCAGTTAAAAATAGTTGTACTTATCTGTGTCTAGAATATTAGTTCTATAGTATTAAAACCATTCAGCAATCTTGTGAAGGTCCAACAAGATAAAATAATGTAAAGCACTTGCTAACCATAAAGTAAGAAATATAAATCATTCCTTTAGAGGTTGTCTTTTAAAGCAGATTAGTAGAATCTTGACTGCTGCTTTGTGTGTTGCAGCACGGGTAGAAGCTCTCAAATGAGCAAATCGTGTCCACTTGCTAACCATAAAGTAAGAAATATAAATCATTCCTTTAGAGGTTGTCTTTTAAAGCAGATTAGTAGAATCTTGACTGCTGCTTTGTGTGTTGCAGCACGGGTAGAAGCTCTCAAATGAGCAAATCGTGTCAAAACAGTATAGAATCATGAACTTGAAAGGAACTCGGATAACATTTTTAAAATTGGGAAATTGAGAAACCAAGAGGTAAAGTGACTTTCCTAAAGGCACATGGTTAGTAGGTGGCAGAACCTTAGACTCAGGCCCAAGTATGCTCACTCCCACTCCGCCAGTGTCCAAATGAAGCACAAAGTCTTTTTTAGGTAGTATCAAATGAGCAAAGCCACAAGGTGCAGTCATTGTGAGGTGGTGAAAAGTGGAAGCAGGCTATAGGGTCATTTTCCTTCCTTATAACATGAATTATTATATATCAGAGCTGAAATTAGTTCCTTGCTCCCTTCTCACAGATAAGATATTTAGGATGTTGTGAAAAGGTCATTGAGTACATTTTAGTAATATATAGCAGTTAAATAAAAATATGTGTAGTCAGTTGAAAAAGAGAATCTTGAAGGTACTTTTTACCTATAATAGTCTGAGATTCTAAAGTGTCATATAACTAACTTTATTAAATTGAGAATTTAAGTAAAATGATGAGAAATTAAGCTGTTTCTTCTGCATATTCATAAAAAAAATCACCTCCAATAAATTTAAGGGATTCACAACATCCTGAAATGTATTTGGTGATATGGCAACTAGAATGGATGTCTTACATTGTTGTCCTACTTATGTACATTTCCAAAACATTAGAGAATAATTTTACCTCCTACAAAGAAGGGGAAAAATACCTTTATCTCTACAGTGAATAGGCTGTTTGTTTCCTTTTTAATGTTTGTTTTTCTCCAATAGTACTATGTGCTCAATTCTAAGTTAAGCGCATATTAAAACTTGACCCTTCTCAGTTGCAAGCTTAAAGACTTCCAAGCAAGAGATTTGATGCAAAATCGCTACAGTGTTTAGTCCTGAGAAGAATAAATATTAAGTTTGAAAACAATCAGTTAACTAGTTTCTGACTATGCTCTAAGTATCACTTGTATTTAAAATAGCTTTAGGGCCTAAATTGATCCAGAAAAGCCATGACAGTTGGCCTATAGTTTAATGTTTAGTAGATAAGGTATTTCCTAAAGTTGAAATTTCTCTTTTGCCTAAATTAAAAGTTTCTCCCACCATCTGGGGTCGTTTGTCATTAAGATTTGTTCTGAGATGTTGTGAGGACTTTTTTTTAGTCTGTTTGTCACTGGAATATTATCATTACACTAGTTCCCATTTCTATAGCCTTTTGTAGTGTATGCAGCATTTTCTTAGCCACAGCCCTGTGAGTCCAGTTAGTGTAAACGTTATCCCTGTTTTGCATATTGTATGTAGCTTAAACTTAAACAGATAAAATGATTTGCCCATGGTCAAAATGCTCGTAAGTAGTAGATCAAGAACGCAAAGCCATTCTTTCTCACTCTTTGTCTATTGTTCTTTCTACTATACTGTGTTGCCTCTATTGGAAGTTTCCCCATATCCAAAAACAAAGATTCTGCAAGCTCTCAGTAAGACATATTTGAGATTCCTGTTTAGTTCCTGACCCAAGCCCATGAATTTTCCCTCACATTTCTGCCCTCCCATTTTTACAGACCTATACATGAATTCCTTTCTCAGGCTCATAGATATTTCAAATACAATTTCATTCTTTTTTATTTTCCTCAGGTCTGGGAGGAGCAACTGGCTACGTGCTGGGAGGTTTGGATTGGACACAGACCTTCTTGGGTGTCTGGTTTAAAACCCAGTATCAAGTCCTCTTCTTCTTTGCAGCTGTCATTTTCACAGTGTCTGTAGTCCTTCACCTCTTTAGCATTGAAGAAGAACAATATTGCCCTCAGCAAGAGCGAATTGAAGAAGCAGATACTCTCTCCAGCGGCAAATTTAGCAGCAGCCTCCCCCCACTCAGCCGCTTGAATGTAATTAATGAGGGAGAGCCATATGGGGTTTCTATGTTTGCTGATGAAGTGCAGTCTGAGCACGAGCTCAGTATGGATTATCTTGATGTGGACATCGTAAGAAGTAAAAGTGATTCTGTACTTCACATGCCTGATGCAACATTGGAAATTGAGCCAGAGCTACTTTTCCTTCATGACATTGAACCCTCCATTTTTCAGGACTCTTCAAACCCTAACACTCCCCGAAGCACTAGCCAGGAGCTTATGAAATGCAAACGGAGCCGTTTGTCCACTCTCCTCAGGGAAAATGAAAAAGAAGATGATATGTTGCTTGATAATCACTTGAATGAAGCCAAAGTCCCAAATGGCAGTGGCTCTCCACCAAAAGATCTCATCAATGGAAACTCTAAAATGGCCTTGAAGACATCAAACACTTCAGGCTCCATTCGGAGGAGAAGGCACATGTTCTACCGCCAGGCATCTTGTACCTTTTCCTACTATGGCAAAGTGGGGTCTCACCGTTACCGTTTCCGACGAGCTAATGCCATTGTGCTGATTAAGTCATCCCGAAGCATGAATGACATCTATGATATACAGAAGAGGCATCGTCAGAGGTGTAGACAAAGGAACCAGAGTGGTGCAACCAATTCCAGTGGAGACTCAGAGAGTGAAGAAGGGGAAACTGAGACTACAGTCAAACTTCTGTGGCTGTCCATGTTGAAGATGCCTAAGGAGCTAAAGAGGCTTTGCCTGTGTCACCTTGTGACCTGGTTTTCAATCATTGCCGAAGCAGTGTTTTATACAGATTTTATGGGCCAAGTCATCTTTGAAGGTGACCCTAAGGTGAGCTAACAGAATCCATCATATATTTCAGTCTGAGGCACTTTTCAAACAATTAAACCTAACACAGCTGTTCTTAAATTTTTTGTGTGATGGTCCCCTTTAGCAGTCTAGTGAACCCTATGAATCCCTTCTCAGAATGATATTTTTTAAATGAATTAAAATAAAATTCATTAGATTTTTATAAAGGGAAACAAATTATATTGAAAGTATTATCAGTGTGTGTGTGTGTGTGTGTGAGTGTGAGTGAAGCAATTGGGGTTAGGTGACTTGCCCAGGGTCACACAGCTAGTAAGTGTCAGATATCTGAAGCCAGATTTGAACTCAGGTACTCCTAACTCCATGGCTGGTAATCTGTCCACTGCACCACCTAGCTGCCCCTAAAATATTTATTTTTTTAAAGAAAGTTCACAGACCCCAGGTTAAGTACTCCTAGGCCAACATAGCATGTATATAATCATCTTCTTAGTGAATGGATGCCAAAATGCTTAAGTTTGAATTACACTAAGACTTTTGGAATACCCTGTATTTAAAAAGAACCATGTAGTTTATAGAGTAAACTTTAGCCTTTTCTTCCACTGATGCCCCAGGTTCCTGAAAGCTACTAGGAGCATAAAGTGTGGCAGGTCTTCTAAGCAAAAAAGGATTTATATATGGACCCAGCAGTGTATGGCTCTGTCATTCAAGGTCCAATTTAACAGTTTAAAAAGGCTCATCAGAAGGCCAAGGATATTATGTCAAAGGGAAGGAGAAGCCAGCAATGAAATCCTGGATTTGGGGTCAAACTACAGTGGGTATTGACAGTTGGTTTTATTGTAGCAAAAGCAATCTTAGAGCCAGTTTGTAACTTCACATTACTCAAGGAGGTAGCTAGATCCATGGTCTGATAAGTGGGAGGCTTTTCCATATCAGCTCTCCAGCTTGGATCTAGTAACTGACATTTCCCCTTAAGTGACAAATTACTGATTGCCCAGCGTTGACACTTAGATCACAGTGAGATGATCCAGAATCTAATCATTCTAAAGTCTGAGAGGTTCTGTCTCACACAGAAAGTTTTACTGCTTACAATAAGAGCTCACATTTATATAGCACTTTACAAATATCTTATATGATCCTCAGAACATCCTGAGATGCAGTACTACCATTATCTTCATTTCATGGAAGAGGAAACTGAGACCAGCAGGGGTTAATTGATTTGCCCAAGGTCAGTCAGCTAGTAAATGTCTGAAGCCAAATTTGAACTCAAGTCTTTCTGACTCCAGGGCCAACGTTATGCAGTAGTGGCACTGTGCTACCTAGCTGCTCCTAAATTAGAGAGCAATTATCTTTATAGTTAGTACAATTACTAGCTAAAAGTTTACAGTTTTGACTTAAGAGGAAATGTCCATTTTTAATGCCTCTTAATACCCAGTTCTACCTCTGCTTTTCCAGGTCCCTTTCTCAGTCCCGCATATATTTCATGCTGTTTCTCTTTCATAACTCATTTCAAAGCAAACATCAGTGACAGCTGAAAAACTTTACGGTGAAGTACTAGGAATTGACTAAAACTCAAAAAGGCCTTGTTAATATAAGCAAAGTTTCTGAGGTTGTAGCAACTATATTTCTTTTTATCCCGTTCTTCTAGAGGGGGAAAACCTTTTTAAAATGGTACCTGTAGATTCAGGGTTGATGGTTAACAACAAGGCTTGTGGTCTGGGGTACCTGGCAAGATCTTTTCCAACAATTTCCTTGGTACTGTGGAAGAGAGATACTAGGCTTGACAAGATTCTAGCTAGCCTTTTCTGCTAACCAAAATTGTAGTCTTCTCTCTCTGTACAGTAAGTTTATAGGAGAGTCAGTACCTTTTTCTATTTTTAAAAGGTTTAAAATTTTTTTTTATTTTGGAGATTGTCTTTGCATTTTATTTTGTATTTAGGGATATGGATGTTTCTGGGCATGATTATTTCGGGGGGGGAGGGGGTATTTGGCATGGAGCGTTAGACTAAGAGATAAATAACCTAGAAATGCAACTGCATGATTTGAGTCTCTGGGTCTCAGTTTCCTCAAAGGCAAAGTAAGAGAGTTGGACTGCATGATCTTCTTTCCAGTAGTTCTTTCCAACTATTAAATTTCTATTATTTTTAGTGATAAAAATACTGGGCTCCAGGAATGCTTGAGTGCAGCATTCAATGTAGACATTTGAATCTTAGGTTCACTGACTCGTCTTATGATTTTAGGCAAAACGCTTAGCCTGTCTGGCCCATTTTTTCATCTGCATAATGAGAAGAATAATCCTACTTCATAAGAAAATTCTCTAAATGCAGTGAGATACAGCTTAGTAAAGTACTTTGAAAAGTATGAAATCCTTGTTAGCATTACAAACTAGTGATTAGATTGTCACTATCATTATCACCATTCCTTTTCAAACGTAGTGTTTAATGTTAAAACGAAATGTTAAAACATAGAATACACCTTTAAGCATTATAATGCTGGAGTCTCATCCAATTAAACTCCAAATCTTTGGTTGCTGTAGGCACCTTCAAATTCTACTGCTTGGCATGCATATAATGCAGGTGTGAAGATGGGCTGTTGGGGGTTAGTCATCTATGCCTCTACTGCTGCTATTTGCTCAGGTAAGTGAATCTGCTTTTAAAGGGAACCAAGTGGGTCATGTGTGGCAATATAGTAAAAAAATGTTTATAGATTAAACTGACTCAGCACCCAGGTAACTGGAAACAGTAACGCAGAAAATACCCCCTACCTCCAATAGAATCTGTTTAGTACTTTTTTAAAGAATTCTATGAACAGCTACAATAGCAAATAGAATAAATCCAACCTTAATCTGTTGGTAAGCATTTGGATGTCATCTTAAAACTATACATAGGATATTCTATACCTATTCTTTATATGTAGGACCTGTAATCATGAAGTTGGAGTGTGAGGTCTTTGTTATTTTACCCAATACTTATTGAGTGTTCCACTGAAACCTTCCTCCAGTACCTTTGTCATGGTACAGAGGTGACAGTGGTCTTGATGGGCAAATTTCAAGCTGTGAAAAATCTACCAAGATGTAAAGACTTTGAATATAGGCATAACAGTGAAGTCTATGTTATGTCATCCGTGGACTAGCCTTACTAAGTTTGGACAGATGTTTCTTACCTGAAGATTGGGCACCAAGTAATGTCAGGAAGTGAGGGGAAAGGAAAGGAGGTACTCACCACAAATGCACGAAGACTACTTATTCTAAGGTCTTGTGATCTGCATCGTTTTAGGAAAGACCTATAGAGATGAAAGTATAGATGGTTTTAAGTATTGAATTGTGAAAACAATAGCATTTATTTGATGAGTGCCTGTTGTCCTGGGTGCTACAGTAGAGACAAAGAATGACTTGTTCCCTCTCTTCTAGGAGTTTACAATATGCAGTACTTGGGGAGATAAAACTGAAAAGTTTAAAAAAAAAAAGTCCTACAAAGTTCCCTAAGTCAGTATGTAGTTAGATCAAAGTGGACTAGAGTGATAAGAGAGAGCATCAAAGAAGAGGCCAATCCACTTTAGATAGTAGAACTAAGGGCCTGCAGAGTATAACTTATAGTGGTGGGCAGTAAGCAGTACGTCTGTAGGCAGAGAGGAGACAGAAGTCGTGTTTTGGACTAGTGAATTGTCTGGTGTACCTGGAGCGGAAGACTTTTTATAGGGGAGAAGGAGGGGATGAGGTTTGAAAAGCTAGAGGATAGGCTTAGCTAAGATAAAAAGTTTATATTTTATTCTGCAAATATTTGAGCTATTGAGAATTTTTGACAAGGGAAGAAACTTGGTTGATGTATGTCAGCAATATTAATCCAGTGTTATTGTATGGAAAAGGAATAAATGAAAGCAGAGAAACCAGTTGGGCTGCTGTCATAATCTAGGCAATAAGGCCTTATAATCAGGTGATGGTGGTGGGAAGGAAAGGAAGGGGCCAGATTGGGTAGACATCACAATAGATGAGAGCCTGAAATGATTCCAGGATTTAAAAGCCTGATTGAAATGGTGCCACTGAATGAAATAGTTTAGTCAGAAGGGAAGCTGGCTCTATAGAGAGTGTGAGTTCAACTTTAAGGCTGATGAGCTTGAGCTGATAGTAGGAGATAGCACTATGAATTTAGACAGAAAGAACTATGTGTGTTTTAGTGTGTCCTTATCTGCCTAGAGCTGAGAACAAGTCAGATCTCAAAATGACATAGGAGAGTCATCAATCCAGAAAGGACAGCTGAAGCTTTGAGAGTGAAAGTTTTCCAGTAGAAAGTGTAGTAAGATTATTTCTTGTCACAAATATATTTGGTAAAACTGAATTTTCTTTTAGAAAAGTAGCCTCAGTGTAAAACTTTTCATCAGTATTATTTTCATCAGTATTGTCCTGGAGAATAGGGGGACCAAAAGAATCAGTGATTAAATGTTGTGTACAGTCTTGTTCACTGGATTTTTGAACATAGATTTTTGTATTCTTTTCAGCCCTGTTACAGAAGTATTTGGACAACTATGACCTTAGTATAAGGGTGATTTACATCCTAGGAACTCTGGGTTTTTCGATTGGTACTGCAGTGATGGCCATTTTCTCCAACATCTACGTCGCTATGATAATGATCAGCACTATGGGCATCGTGTCAATGAGCATATCCTACTGTCCCTATGTACTCTTAGGACAATATCATGAGATTAAAGAGGTGCGTGCAAAGCCTACTCCTCAGACTATTAAATAGTACATATCTATGTTATAATGGGGAATACATATTAGTGATAATGTCAGCTCTTCCACCTATATACTCTAGGTAGATTTCCCTAACTACCAGGATGTTTTTGAACTGAAACGATTGTTTCCATTGCTCTTAGTTCTCAGATAAGCTTAGAATTCTGATGTTGTAGCTGAAAAGGGATCATGTAGTTCAATCTCTTTACTTTTACACATGAGGAAAGAGGTTGGGTGATTTGGCCAAGGATATGCCAGTAGTCAGAGCATAGCGAGGACTTGAATCAGGTACCAGAACTAACCCCTTGTGCATGCTTATCTTTTTTCCTTTCCTTTCCTGTAAATGCTGCATCAATCATTTTCTTTCTCATGTCTTCAGTATCTCCCTCTTCTAACTTCTTTCTCGTACCCTATAAACATGCTTATCCTAAAACAAGCATATGTGCAAATCATGCCTTGACTCAGCCATTCCCTCAAGCCATCACTCTCTTTCCAGACTTTCCTTTGACTTTTAAACAGAATAGTCTCACTTTACACTTTCCCTAGGTCTCAGATTCTCCATTCATTCTCTCCACTTCCTTACTTCTCATTCCTCAGGCTTTTGCAATCCAGTTTCTATCTTTACCACTTAAAATTAAAACTAATGGCCTTTTGAAGGAGCTCATCTTCCTTGACTTTTTTTCTTCTTGCCAGTCACCAAATACTGTTTATTTTTGTGATGTATTTCTCTTTTGTTAAATATTTTCCAATTACATATTTATAATTATACTTGAACATTCACTTTTTAAAATTTTGAGTTACAAATTCTCTCCCTCCCTCCTCCCCCACTCACAGAGAAGGCAAGCAGCATGATAACAATTGTACATGTGAAGTCATGCAAAACATTTCCATATTACCATGTTAACAAAAAACATTCTGTTATACCGAAGAAATAAAGTAAGTGAAAAAAGTATGTTTCAGTCTACTCTCAGTTTTCTCTGAAATCTCCAGATTTCTCTCTCTGGATATAGATAGAATTTTTTATCACAAGTCATTTGGAATTGTCTTGGATCATTGCATTGAAGTCTTTCGCAGTTGATCATCATTACAATATTGCTATTAACTGTGTTCACTTCACTTTGTATCAATTCATATAAGTCTTCCCAGGTTTTCTGAAACCATCCTGTTCATCATTTCTTATAGTGTATCCATCCATCACAATTTGTGCAGCCATTTCCCAATTGATTGGCATCCTATCAGTTTCCATTTCTTTGCCACTGCAGAAAGAACTACTATAAATATGTTTGTACATGTAAGTCCTTTTCCTTGTTCTTTCATCTCTTTGGGATTCAGACCTAGTACTTGTATTGCTAGGCTTAACTCTCTTTAGTATTCACTGCTATACCCCATCAGAACAGAACCCTGTCTTTGTTGTCTCTTAATCTTCCATGACACTGCCCTCTCATGGGTCTCCTCCCACATCTCTCTCTTTTCCTTCTTTATCTTTTCCTGACTTCTTATCATCTGTCCCTTACACAAGGCTTTGTCCTTGGGCCCTCTTCTTGCTGCATCTTCTACCGTGGTGATCTTACAAGTCCCAATGTTTCAGTTATATCAATGCAGATGACTCTCAAATCTATACCTCTACCCTCAGATTTTCCATATAGCTCCAGTACTAGATTTCAGGCTACCTACTAAATAAATATCTTTATCTATGATATCACATGAACAAATAGTATGTCATCCCAGAATTTGCTATTCTTCTCTGTTAAATTCTCTATTTCTGTGGATGTTGGAAGAGATCTCAGTGGCCATCTAGTCCAACCCATCCCCCGCCAAACAAATCCTTATTATGACCAGCCCCCTTTTCAGACAGATTGATGTCCAGTCATTTCTTCCTCATTTTGTACTTGTGAAATTGAATTCTAGAGTCCCTATGTACATTAATCCTACTAACATTTGCTTTGAGTCCTGTGATGCCCCTCTCCATTCTCAAGGTCTTTCATATATCATTTGACTATTATTAAGGTGACTTGAGTTTTTGAAGGAATGTTAAGGATTCTCTTACTATGCCTTATATCTTTGATATCAACGGCCCTTTAGCCATTTTTATTCCTATCCAGAGGTGATCCATCTTGTTTAGGGTTTTAAAAAAACAAACAAACCCAGAAATGCACCCCCCCTCCCCCCAAAAATGAGGCGTTGTGCCTTCTGCTTCTCCTTGGGGTTCTTCTAGGGCTCTGAAGCCAATTCTGTGTCCTTGCCATCCTTCTGGATGAAATATGAAATATGAAATCTTGCTATTTTTCGTAGCAGTTTGGCTGGGTCTCTCCTCCATGATTTCATTTGTTATTGTAGCATGATCATTTCTGTGTATTTCTTCCCTTCATCCTCCTACCTCCTTCCCCCCCCACCCCCAATAGTATGTGTAAGCATCATTACAGCAGGGTATGTGTCATATCTGTTCTATTCCTAGCGTTGGGCTCTGCATAATAAAAGTGCTTAATAAATGTTTGCCTAATGGGTAAAAGTCTTTTCCAAATCTTATCTGTCCTCATCTTTTTTTTCCCTTGCAGTACGTGCAACATAGCCCTGGAAATTCAAGGCGTGGATTTGGCATTGACTGTGCAATCCTCTCCTGTCAGGTTTATATTTCCCAAATCCTTGTAGCCTCTGCGCTTGGTGGAGTGGTGGAAGCAGTGGGTACTGTCCGTGTTATTCCAATGGTGGCATCTGTGGGATCATTCTTGGGCTTCTTGTCAGCAACGTTCCTGGTGATTTACCCTGACTGTGAAGAATCCAAGGAAGAGCATAAGGGACTGTCTTCTCGCCACCCAGCTGGGAGTGGCAACACCGAGGAGAAACCCAGTGTTTTAAAGCTCTTTCGGAAAGAGGAGTCCCAAGTCTCAGTAGAGAGCGAGTCAGTCATCTGAATCTACCGTTCTGATTTTACACACATTCCAAGCAGGAACTGGGTCTGAGTGTGGAGATGGTTTTAAAGGGGGAAGGGGGAAGAAGTTACTGAACATTCTGTAATTGCTGTTGCCTGAATTATGGCATAAATAAGATTTCGTGCAAAAATGTACTCAAAATGTATTAGTCTTAGGTTAAGTTTGAACCAGTAGGCAAATGTAGGAAACTGATTGCTTTCTCCACTTTAAAAACAGAGGGAAAAAAACCAAACAGAAAAACTCCACATCACTTATAAATGCCTACACCTTTTTTCTTTTTTAATGAAGAATAAGACCTTTTGATTCCAACTATTACTCAAAATCTGCAGGTATATCATTCTGCATGTTTTTAACATGTTACTGTATAGACAACCAATTTAGAAAAAATTAAGAGATATTTTGCCTTTTTTAGATTGTAATTTCAAACAGAAAGCTATTTTGACAACTTTTATGAGATGTCATCTGAATCCCTCAGATAATACAAGTTTAACTTGAATAAGATACTTTTATCAGAAATTTTTTCCACAGACAGCTATTAGTCTGACAGCTATAGTTATTTGGTCAAATTTCACCGCATTTTTTTGGTACAACTATCATTGAATATTTTTCTTTGCAATCACATTAGAAAAAAAGCACAAAAGTGTGGTTTTCTTTCTTTAAAAACGCATTGGACATTTTCCTCAAGACTGACTGATCTAGGCCCAGGGGTTGGGGGTGGGAGATAGGGTTGGGAACATACCAAAGGTGGGAGGAGCAGCCCAGAAGGTGATCTTGTGTTTGAAATGCCCACTTGACAAGGACAGTTTGTTTTTAATGTATCATCAGAACATGCTGTGATAGGACATTAAGAGAAGACCCTGCATTTGAACTGGTGAATGTGCTGCGTCATGTCTGTCTGGGTGTAGGGGCTTGTGTGTTTGTTGTGAGGGCTTTGTTGTTTTTGTGGCACCTGATGCTGATCATCTCCGAAGCAACCATGAAGGGGCAGAGGGTGTTCTCCTGTTATAAGCCAGCTTCATAGAATGGGGGACAGCCCTCTGGGGAAGGGAGGGTGGGGATTTTTTTTTTAATTGCACTTTTTATCATCTTGAACCTTTTGTTGGGGAAATCATGCGAGCTGAGTTTGAAGGCCTAGCACCACTACAACAACATGAAGATTTGCGTGGGATTGTCTCGTGATAACAGCATCCACGTCCAAGGTGGCCTTGCACCTTTACGGGGAAAAAAGAAATGGATATCGGTGAGCACGTGTGCCTTGCCTGCTGCTGGATGGGTGAGCAGTTGCACCTGCTGCAGCTCTGGGGCCTCTGTTGACCTCTCAGCCAGGGAATCCATCCTGGAAATGGGACTTTCTTAGGCGACTTTATGGGTGTGGGTTTTTTTCCTCTAGAACAAAAGGAAAGACTGCTCTGTTTTCTACATTTAAGAAACCTTTAGTATTTCCAGTTTTCACATACAAGCAAAACTCAGAATGGGGGTAAAGTAGAAAATGCAGCTGCTATTGGAAACTTCTCTCCAGCCACAGTTTCTCTGACAGTGAGGAAGCTCTCCTGCTCTTTCTTGTTAGTAGTGGCCATGATGAGCAAGCACATGGATTTCAGGGAAGAGAGCCGGGAGCCTGCTGCCGCTTAAACTGATCAATTAAGACATTGTGGTACTGCTGCCTCGAAGTGGTTCTTTTTAAAATAAAGTACTTTAAGATGCATGTGAATCATGCTGCAATATGATCATTCAAAAGCAGATGTATATTTCAAGATAAAACTGAGAAGTTTTTAAAATAAATTACTTGAATTTTCAGTGTATATAAGAGAATGAATATGTTTTAATGTACTGATCTAATCTACATTCTTGCCAGTGTCTGTACAAGTTGCTGATGGGAGTATGTTTCTTTTGTTTGTTTGTTCTTAATAACTTTCTCAGTCTGTGTTCATTTAAGTTAGACTCCCATCAGAAACAAACGTACTGTGTTAAGTTGCTGGAATTTCCTAGCTCACAAGGACACCAAATTGCACAGGACTTTTTCCAAGTCTCAAATGTTGCTTGACTGTTGTCTACACTTTTGTGTTTTGTCTTTTGTTTTTCATTTAGAACCATATGTGTATGTGAATTTTTTGCTCAGACAAAAAACCGACAGTACTACTGAAGGCATTTACAACCTTGCTGCAAACCATGCAGTTTGTCTGAAGTACCCTAGCTACCCTTCAGGGAGCAGGCTTCTCTATCACCTTTCGCTCACTGGAACAGGTGCTGTAGACAGGGAGGCCAAGTTGTAATACATGACTCACTTCATATCACTTTACAGCTGTAAAATACTGTTTGTCAGGACTTTTGACTCTTGTTCTGGAGGATCGTGCTCAGGTAGCTAAAGGCTTATTGATCCACTTAGAGGTGCTGCCCTTCTAACAATTCAGAAAATGGATGAAGGAGAGATTAGAATGAGAACACAATCAGTATGTTTATGTCTTTGATACGTCTTCAGTTTTTTTAATGAATTAGATGGACCTTTGCTTTCCAGAGCCCTGGTGCCTGTAGAGTATTTCATTTCGCTGTTTGCAAATATGATACTTGTTGTGGCAGGCAACTTACGGAATACCAAGGGTGAACTGTATTGGTTCGTAGACAGGGAGGAAAACTGGGTACAAAAATCCTAGATTTCAGTTTTGTTTCCTGCCAATAGGTAGTTTCCACAGGGCTGTTAACCTAAAGGATGGTGGCCACCTTATATCCATGTCTTGACCTTTGACAGTCAAGCCTTCACCCAGACCATGGTCTTTTAAATAGAACAAAGGCAAAAAACTAGCATGTTCAGATTTTAAGGTCTTCTACAAGTAACTTGCATTTTGATTAACATCTTTTTACAGAAGAATATTCATGGGAAAAGTTTTCTAAATGTGCACTTAGTCACTGTCAGTATGTGCAGGTTTTTGTTTTTGTTTTGTTTTGGTAACATGGGCAGAAGGAAATTACTGCACACTTTGGTAGAACTTTTAAGCTATAACTTTTTCAGATGATTTGCAACCAAAGTATTTAGTACTATGTAGGCTAACTGGTTTCTACATCAGAAACAAGGAGGGAAATGCCTTGCAGTTTGAGCTCAAAAAGATTATGGTAACTGTTGAAGCTCTGCAGCTTAGCTTTCAGGGAGACAGACACATTAACTAACATTACCTTGGTTCCCCTTCTATTCTCCCCTCTTCTTCATGCCTGGGATATAGGGGATAAGTGTCCTCTCACTTCCTAAGGATGTTGGGGAATCCTTTTGTCTCTCATCCCCTCAGTGGTAGTCAAATCACTTAAAAGTACTGTTGAATCTAATAGAGTATAATCACCTTGTGTCTTAAGAAGTGCTGGGAGAAAGGAGGTTAGCATTTTTCCACAGCAGATTTGTAAACTGCCTGAGTGAGGACGTTCTCTATTTTATATAAATATATCCTAAAATTACACTTCAGATAAAATATGTATTGTAGCAGATTTGAGCGTTAGTCGTTAATGGTAGAGGTGATTTTCCTTCCCTTAAAAAGGTCTCTGTATACTATTAATTTAGAAGAAGAGATTTTATTTCTGTATCAGTAAATCTGATTTGACTGTTACTGTACTTTTTGAAAGGTTCAAGTAGCTTAACATAAGCCCTCTGTACTGTGCACTGGGTAAAACACTTGGTTTAGCCAGCATCTGGCCTAGTGTTTTATGAAGACTCTGGTGGCTGAAGAACACATTGAGAGTTAAGCAGGGTGCCCAGAAAAAAAGTATTTTAGCCACCAGAATGAAATTTCTCTGACTTGTTTCTTTCACTGGCTTGACACCTATGCATTAGAAATACTCATTTCCAAAATACATTAGCATTTGTCAGATTTAGAGATGAAGGCCTTTTTCTTCCCTCTCATCCTATAATGGAAAGAGATAAGAAGAACGGGGGTGGGGTGGGGGGTGGAAGTATCCATTAGAGTCATGGGTTTGAGGTCTTAAGTCCTTGGACCTTGCCTGTGCCCCCCTTTTGCACTGGCATCCTGTTCCAAAGGGTCAAGTTTCAAAGTTTGACCACCGGAGTCTGAGAATTCTGTTAACCTATGTGGTTTCTTAGCTGAAGCAGGAAAAAAGTTAGTCTTCTGAATACGTTCTTCAGCAATATTTTGTGTTAGCCTTTTCAGGTGACTAGTTGTGCTAACAGAAAGACACTTAATATCAGTCTGCTGGTGTTAAAGAACAAAGGAATGATGAATAAAGAGGGGTTTTCATCTTGGTTTGAATCCCTCTGGTCATTAGGCCTAGTTGCCCTCTATGGTAGCACCCAAGGGCCAAGGAGGAGAAGGTGGTGGGTGGTACTCTTCTACATTGTCCTGGTTAATTTGATGGGGACATTTCCCCTCTATACCTATTCCTCTTGCTTTGAGACATAGTTGGTTGTTTATAGCAGTCCTTTAAAAGATCCTTCTTTTTAAAAAAAAGTAAAGGGTTAGCTATTGTTAGGACCACATTCCCAATAGGTCTCTCCATATTATATTCCCTGATATGTTGTGTGTTTTCCAGTATTTTTTCCCCTAGACTGAGTAGACTAGTCTCCTTAGGTACAAAATAGATTAAAGAGCAGCAAAGTGAATGCTAACTTCAGAATGTTCATCTTTAGCTTGGAAAGTCTCTCAAGGACAAGTCTCTTGCCAACCAGTCCCACTACCAAACAAGTGAAAAGAGCACCAAATATTGCATGAGACAGATCCCTGGAACAGTGTGTTTGTATGTATGTATGTATATATGTGTGTGTGTGTGTGTGTGTATCTGTGGGAAAAAAAATACCAAATTACTAACTTTTGGAAGACACCTTCTATCTATTTTGTGTCTGTATTTGATCCACCAAACTGTTATCTGCTAAGGGATCTTCCCCTGAAAGTGAGCTGGCCAGAGCATATGTGATTTCCATGTTACATTGGGACAATAGTGCTTCCTTCTGATGAAGTGCAGTATTTTAGCACTGGGTGAGGTAGAATGCTACTGGGGAAGCTTTCCTCAGAAAGTCTTTTCTTCCTCTTTTAGTGTTTAGGACACCAGTGGTGATCCCTGCTACTCCCAAGTGAGACAATCCAAAATTATATTTAAAAAACAAACCTTTTGTTACCTAAATTTTCTTTACCTCTGTTTGCTTTTCTCTGTACAAAAAGTCAAAATTTTTCAATGCCCAATGCATCAGAGGAACAGCCAGTAAAAAGCCATCCTCTGTTTTTCTCCAGGCCTAAAAGCCTGGACTGAATTCTTCATTTATGGACGATGAGTATGGTTGTCAGTGTTATACCATCCTGGTATATTCAAACACCCGAACCAAAGTTCAAGACTCATTCACAGGGCCAGAGAGGGCCTACTAACCAGTCAAAGACTGTCATTCCCACTTGCTTTGTGCCAGCCAAAGTTCCCAAATAACATTTGGGAAGCTCTTCCAACTGATGATAGATTTTTGTTTTATTTTGTCCTCTCTCGGGCACAGGGCCCATCACCCTTCTCAAGGAGCTCTCTTGTCCCACTAATGTTTTCAAATAGAATTAGTTCTTCCTTGTGTAACATGGAAATGGGTGTTCTCCTGGGAGCTTGTTTAAATGCCTCATGTCAATGGAAAAGCTGCATATAGGCATCTCATAACAGAAATATTTAGTTCCGTTGTGAACTGGTGGTAATGACAACTACTTTTATCAACTTATTAAGTTGGGGCACTATACTAGCTCTTGCTGAGTTTAGCAATGTTATATGTGTGTGTTAAACACATAATGTTGTTAAGTTTTATGAGGAAAAAGGGATTAAAAAGCAAAGTAATGTCACAGATGACGGATTTTTTTTTTTAGTGCATCAATGGCACAATGTTGCATTTATTTCTATGCTGTTGAGCTTTTGGGGGATTTATTTTTTAAGGTAAAAGATTTGTTGCATGACCGACTGTTTTTACTGTTCTGCACTTTCTGTTTGTATTATCTAATTTCATTTATGAATAGAAGGGGAGTGGATTTAGACATACACTCCACATGTGTCCCAGTCCGTTATTCTGTAGTTGAATCTTAATAAACATTTCAGTAAGTTTATGAACTCAGTGTGTGTCCTTTCCATCTTCACAAGTAACATGAAGAAAGTTGCAGTGGTACTTTGACCTTTTAGGGAAGTACTTCCTTATCCCTTCTAGCCCTTCCGTGACACCTAGCTTTCCTGCCCTGCTCCTGTTATCCCCTGACACAAGTACCCAAACTTCAAGGTTCATCTCAGGTGTTAAGTACTCCAAGAAGGCTTTCCTGACTAAAATGCACCCCTCCCACTGAAACCAGAGTGGTTTTCTCTCTTGATCCTCAAAGCACTTTGTTGTCAATTAGGTTAAGTTTGTAAAAGTAACTCTTTTAGAAGACCTGGGTTCCAATCACTTCACCTTTCTGGGCCTTATCTAAAATCAGAGGTTTTAATTAGAATCAAATTTAGATTTTTTTTTAATTTATCAACAATCACTTCCATAATCTTTTGAGTTTTAAATTTTTCTCCCCCTCCCTTCCTAAGACGGTGCACAATCTGATATAGGCTCTACATATACATTCCTATTAAACATTTTCACATTAGTGATGTTGTAAGAATTAGAGCCAATAGGAGGAACCACCAGAAAGAGGGAAAAAAAACACAATAGAAGAAAAGAAATAGCAAACAGTGTGCTTTGACCTGCATTCAGACTCTTTTTTGGGATGTAGATAGCATTTTCCATCATGAGGCCTTTGGAGATGTCTTAGATCCTTGCGTTGCTGAGAAGAGCTAAGTCTATCAATGTTAGTCATCACATGATATGGTTGTTCTGGTTCTGCTCACTTCACTCAGCATCAGACTAATAGGTCCTTCCAGGTTTTTCTGAAGTCAGCCTATTCATCATTTCTTATAGCACAATAGTATTCCATTACATTGATATACCACAACTTGTTCAGCCATTCCCCAATTGATAGGCATCCTCTCAATCTCCAGTTCTTTGCCACCACAAAGAGAACTGGTATAAATATTTTTTTACATGTGCGTCCTTTTCCCATTTGTATGATCTCTTTGGAATATAGCCCTAGAAATGCTATTGCTGGGTCAGAGGGTATGCACGTTTTTATAATCCTTTGGCCATAGTTCCAAATTGCTCAATTACTCCAGCAAATAAACAAACAAATAAAGAGCACCAGAAATCCAATGAGAAACTATAATAAATGACTTTTTCTAGCCCAGGTCTCAAAGAGATCACCACAATCCTAGAAGGAATAAGGGCAGGGTCCAGCCAGAAAGCCTGGACAGAGTGCAGAGGATAGAAGCCTTCCAGCCAATCAGGGACAGCTGATGCTTATGTAGCTTGGGAGTAGGAAGTTGGGAGCATGGACCAGGGGCGATCCAGGGATACCTGATGCCTGCAGCTGTGTTTTTGGGGGCAGGAGACTGCATCCTAGACCAGAGATGAGTCAAGGATACCAAAGGCCTATACCTGTGTCACTTTAACCTTGGACTGAGGTTGAGATCCTACAAAGGTCAGACTAGAAGATAGTGATTAGGCTTAGACTGTTGCCTCGGGCTCTGAAGCCCTGAAGGACACAGCACTCATACCTAGAAAAAGCAGTGCCAGGACCCAAGATGATACAGATGAGGAGCAAAGCCACATCATCCTTGAAGAAGTGCATGTAGGCTGGACCAGACACAAAGTTCCAGTTCAGGAAGTAAAGGTAGAAATGTGAATGAAGTGAATGCTGGCAAGAAGTGGTATTGATGCAGGGATGCCCAAGCCATAAACCCTGTCGAAGAGAATGATTTTTCAATGACTACCTGAAATACCTCCGAAGTGCAGCTTTGTCACAAGTCCTGTTAAGATTCCTAGAAGAAAAGAATCAAGAGTTTTAAATACATACTTTACATGATGCAATAAAGCTTATAGGTAATAAAAATCCTTTGGAAAAAGGATTAGCAATTGACTGGAGACTAACAATCTCTTAAAATTGGTGAATTGGGGGCAGCTAGGTGGGTCAGTGGATAGAGCACCAGCCCTGGAGTCAGGAGGACCTGAGTTCAAATCTGGCCTCAGACACATGACACTTACTAGCTGTGTGACCCTGGGCAAGTCACTTAATCCCTATTGCCTCACAAAAAAAAAAATTGGTGAATTGAAGAAACTATATATAATTTCATCAAATAAAATGAGGATGTGACAACAGATCAAAACTTAGAAGATATAGCAAAGAAGTCCTTAAGGGAAAATGCATTTCTCTGATACTTGTATTAGTGAAAAAGACAAATAGGGAGCATATGATTTAAAAAAATAATAGAAAAGCAACGAATTATTCCAAAAGCCTTATCTAAACACAAAAATTAAAACACTGAAAGCTAGAGAAGTAATGGTAAGGTTTAAAGCAAGAAAAAAAAATCAATAAATAAACTAAGAACCAATAAAATAAGCAACAAATCCTATTTTTACAAAGAAAAGTCATTACCAATATAAAAAACAAACACAATGTCAAATGGGGATGAAAAAGGAAAGACGTTATTCTGCCCAATTGTATACCCCCCCCTTGAGAAAGGAAATAGATTTACAAATTAATTGGAGATTAATTGATTAATCCAGATTAATTGGAGAAGTTTTAATTGTGCATGGCTAGACCATGTCAACATAATAAAAATAACCACGCTACCCAACCTTATTTACTTATGCAGGACCACACCAAATTACTTTCCAGAGCTAGGGAAAAAAAATAATGTTTATCTAGAAAAGCAAGGGGTTTTTTTTAAATTCAGGAGAGTAACTTGGGGGAAGAGTGACAGTGATCAAGCATTTTGAAAGATAAGGACAGAGGGAGGTGTGGAGATCTGCACTTTCATATCCAGCTCCCTTTTCTTAAATTCTTTTTCTTTTTTTTTAGAAATTTGCACGTTTTAACTGCTGTTTAAGTACAGAATAATAAAGGAGTATTTTGTTTTTTAAAAAGGCCTCCAGTGGAATGATCTGTGCTTAGCCTTGCACTTTGAATAATATTTGAATTGATGACTTGGATAAAGGTATAATTGGCATCCTCATCAAGTTTGCCAACAACACACAGTTGAAAGGGATAGCTAACACCAGATGACAATATCCCCAAAAAAGATCTTGAAAGGTAGGCCCGAATCTAGGGATGTTAAGTTAAGTTGCAATTTGTCTGAAGAAGATCTGGGAATTGTCAGTCAAGTTTGCGATCTGTGTGTTATCAGTAAGCATTTATTAGTACTCACCTTGTGCAGGCACAGTGTTAAGCACCAGGGATGCCAAGAAAGGCCAAAGATAGTCCTCTCGGCACTCAAAGCCATAAACGCTAATGGGATCTTGGGATGCATTCTTCCAGGAAGAAGGCAATTGATGGTCCTGCTCCCAGACCTCAGCTGGAGTATTGGTTGTTCTGGGCATAACAGTTTGTTCAGGAAGGACAGAGCAAAGAGAGCAGGAAAGGACGATTCTAGTAGCAAACATGATTACTATCAAAAGCTTTGATCATGTTATTTCTATCAGAACTACTTACTTCTTGTATCCCAAACCCACTTAATTGCAACCCACTTTGGGAGAATAAGTAAAAGAAACTTTTGTATTAGGTATGACCTGTCATTAGCCTCTTTTTTTTTTTTTTTTGCTAGCTATTGAGTCAGTAGTTTTCTCTGAAGCCTAGCCACTTGGAATTGCCTAAGTTTGCATGCTAAAAGTTTAATGGTTTTTTTCCTTTTCTTGAAATTTCAGCACAAGGTTTTGCTCTTCCCACCCCTACCCCCCAGCAGGAACTTCTCTCAAGGTCATTCTCAAGATATTTATCAGTATCCTAACTATGTAAGTGACCTATCCAGCAATAATTGCCACCTCTCAATGTCATTTACTGTTTATCATCTTTAAGTTATATTATGAGATCAAATTATGAGACCAAGTCCACTGTAGGTGAGGAAATCATTAATAACCAATGATTAATATCAGGGTTCAGGTTTTTTTCTCTTTTTATTTCCTCATTTAAAGACTAGTTCTTCTAGGTCAATCAGTCTCTGAAGGACAGGAGCTGATGATATTGGCCTAACCCTCCAGAAACATTCTCCTCTACCTTGGGTGGGACCCCACCCAACTGGGAGAGCTTATTTCTGATGAAAGGGTAAAGAGAATCTAACGTAGGTGAATTCTGGTCAGTTGTTCAACTTAAGATGGATCCCTTTGTCCAGATGGCTGGAGATAGCTGAGTCCCACCTAGTCACATTTTCAGCAGGAGGAGGTGAAGGCTTTCCTGTGAGACTCTGGCAAAAGACCACCCAACATGGCATGGCATACCTGCATGAAAGAAGGCTCCGTAAGGGCAGCTAGGTGGGGAAATGGATAGAGCACTGGCCCTGGATTCAGGAGGACCTGAGTTCAAATCTGGCCTCAAACACATAACACTTACGAGCTGTGTGACCCTGGGCAAGTCACTTAACCCCATTGCCTACCCCCCCCCAAAAAAAAGAAGGCTGTGCTCTCTGAGCAAAGCAAAATTGAAGTAGCTCAAAAGAAACCCAAGATGGGCAAATTTAGAGAATCCACTCCAAATGTTCAGATGGACTATTTGTGCCCAAGCTGTGGTAGAACATTCCAAGCTCGTATTGGTCTGATCAACCTTGATTCCAACATAGTAATGCCATTTTGGTCCTCTTCCAAAACAACCAGCCCACCGATTGTTCAGCAATCGGGCTTAAGCTGTATTCACTCATCTCTGTCTTTCTCTTGGATGTCTCAAACTAGATGCCCTTTGCAGGTATCTCAAACTTGAACACGTCCAAAGCAGAGCTCATTATTTTCCCCCCAACTCTCCTCCCCTTTATAAATTTCCCTTTCACTATTGAAGACACCACCATTTCCCAGTTACCCAGAGCCCAAACTTCAGTCTTCTCTTCTATTTCTCAGTGTCATTTACTCCCCTATCCTTTCCATTGCTAAATCTTGTGTTTTCTACCTCTACAACGTCTGTCACTTATGTGTGCTTCTCTCCACTTGGACAACCACATCTCTAGATCTCCTCTTACTTGGACCGCTGCCGTGAACATTCAACTGGTCTCTCTGC